CAGAATACAATCATTGAACGCGTACGGCTTTTAACTGCAATTTGTGTGTTTGGGCCCGTAAGTCTAACAATATTCCGCCAATTTAAGTATTGTCATTTTTCGTACACAAAATGCAGAATGAAAATGACAGTTTTTAGCTTTCAAAACATTTCCAAGAGTCTCTACCACTATCGTCAGTTACAATAAACTAACATTGTTTTTGAATTTTTAAGATTTAAGTAAACAATTAAAAAAAAAAAGAAAATAGAGAACGTGACTGAACAATACAGTGTAGAAAAAGTTAGATATAGTGTAGAAAACATCTTTTTCATCTTGTCACTTTACACTGAAAAAATTAAACAGAAGTAGTGCTTTTTTGTCTTTTTTAAAGGGAGATCCCTTTTGTTGAACCGGAGTGAACTGGACGTTATTCTGATTTTGACATCTCAAGAAATGGTAAGGACAGTCAGTTAATAAAACTGATTTAAGATATCGCCTATTCGAATCTCTCGTTTGATGGCTTTACCGTGAATTTACTGAAAATATTTATTAAAGCTGTAATACACCATTGTCCTCTCTAGCGGAAGACTCCTGTTCCTGACGCAGATCGAGTGGGATCTCAGTCCGATTATCACATCTCACATAAAGGTTAGAAAAGTAAGTAGCTTTGGTCACTATATGTATTCAGAGTACATACGTGTTGTACAAATAAGAAAGAAAGGGTTTGAATTTTCAGTGAAGAAATGTACACATTAAACGTCCATCCTCGACGACTTTCAGTTTTGTCCGTTGATCTTCCTCTGTGGTCTTGTCAAGTTTGTTTTGTTTTCCTCGTTTGTTTTCTTTCAGTTTAATTTGGCAATTCTTGCTTAGTCTGTCGTGATTGTCACGCACGTGCATTTATTTTCGGCTGTAGTTGTCAGTTGGGCGCGTTGATCTTTGTCTTTGATTAAAACTTTGCTCTTCTACCTTGGTCAGTGAATTTTAAGTTTGATCCGTTTATTTTCACCTGTTGCTTAATTTCAGCTTTGTACGACTGACATCCTTTGTAAATGTCGGTTTGTTTTTTGTTTTTTTTTTTCGTCATAGTCGCGTGATGCTAGGGGATAAAACATTGACTTTTGTTTAAAAAAAACCATGTCTAAGTAAACTTGAAATGATTTTTTTTCATGCTTCAGACAAAGTCCTGGCATAAAGTTGAACTGTTGGCCTTTGTATTTTTCCAGTGAGCGAAAGAGAAGTGGTGACTACAAGCTTGATACCAGTTCAATTTAATTTACAATTCAGTACTAAATAAGCAAAGGGAACGTTATGCAATTTTACAACAAAACAATTTAAGGAAGGTGCGTACTTTTGCTAGTGCGCACACGTTCTGCGCATCACGCAAGGCATATTTTAAGGGCCACGCGCGAGCTGGGGTTGACATTGACGCAATCAAATACGCTACCAAGTACACGACTAACATGAAGGCAAAATATTCCTACTGTGACGAAATCAAGTGTAATGAACATGTACTTAAACTAGGAGTACCAGAATAGCAGGATATCGCTAACCACTAACTGTTAACGTCTTCCAGCTGAAAAACTAGCTGTTTTCTGTTAAAAATTGTACTGAAATCCAACTGTAAACATGTACCTGCAGATGGCGTTGTGCGCGAGCAAAACAAGAGCGAGATACGCAAATGTTTTACCTACTGGGGAGTTGACAGGAAAAAATGTAACGGGCACCGCAAAGGTTTTAAAAATAGATCAATAACTTTAGAAAACGCGTGGTTACCCCTACATTTTATGTTATGAAATGGAAGTGGCAAGCCTATTCAACACATGATTAGTTTCTGGTTGTGAGCAAAAGGTATTTAGACGGTATTTTAGCTGAACCAGAGGAACGCTGTCAGAGACGCTAAAAGCGCTGTTGCAACTGTTTTGCTATTAAGGACGGTGCCTACTTTTGTTAGTGCGCATACTTTCTGCGCATCACACAAGCCATGGTTTAAACGACACGCGCGCGCTGGGGTTGACATTGACGCAATCAACTACGGTACTAAGT